TCATACATCCTTGCTAGTCACTCTTTAGGTGTGCTTAAGAGTTACATCTTTATGCTTTAGTCCTTGGGCCAATAGGCATGCATGTTTGCCATGCCTTTTTCATGCTTCATTTCCATCATTTCTTGGCATTTTGGCCACTGATTTTGGGCATGACTGAGGTTTGTCCGTCTTTAGTTTTAAGTCCATTTTCCATGTTGTTCAAAGTTGCTACTCTACATCATGCTTGCATGTTTGTCCATCTTTGCATGCCACGCATGTTCGTAGGATTATGGTTGCATTTTGCATGCTTGCTAGCTCGCATTTTGTCACATGCTTGTTTAGGTCGCATTGGATTTGGCATGCTTGTTACTTTAGCCTTGTGTACATGTTTGAGTCATATTGCATTTGGCATGCTTATGATGCATTACATAGCTTTTCCATTGTTACATACATTGCATTATGTTTGGTTTGGGGTGTCAAACCAAACACGAGGACTGAGGAACGTTCGTACTTGAAGTGACGAAACGTGCCTCAATCCTCGGTCGCCGACACTCTTGATCCAACATGATAGAGTTCTAGGCATTCATGTGTTTTTGTGCATTCATTCCATATTGAATCGCACACTTGGCTCCTTTGGCCATCATGCATCGACATGCGTGATTGATGGCCTAAGGGTCGAGCACTACACTCCCTTGAGTTCATGACATGATAGGGAGGGTGTTTGTGCACACATTGCCCTGAAAATGTATTGCCATGCTCTGTTTGTCCTCTACTGCAGCAAAACAACATTCTGCAGGAAGATATGGCCGGTCGGCCATCTTCAGTGCCGATCGACTAAACATTGTTGGCCGATATCCTCACAAATGGTCGGTGACCAATTCCACATGGCCGGTGTTCCTATACCTTGGCCGGTGACATCTCACAGTGCTCAGGGAGTGGTTCGGAAGCATCCTTGGGACTTGTGCAGTTTTCAGAGGCGCAGAACAGTGCAAACAGAGGCAACATGTGGCATGGCAACGGGTTTCTGAGCGAGGCGACCGAGCATGCATTCATCCCTCTTCCCGAGGCCGCTTTCCTATTCTTCATAACTTAATTAATTTGTTTAATTAGTTAAGAGTTATGTAATAATTAATTAGCTAAGATAGTTAGTTAATTAGTTGGTTTGTATTATTTATTCGGACCCTCCGTCGAGAGGGCGAATTTTGTAATAAGTGTGCGTGAGTGTGTGAATGTCTTCCAACCCCACGTCTTTCTCCCTTTTACTTACCTGTTTTCAATGGTTAGTTTTAGGTAATGTTTCAATTAGCATCCTTATGCTCGCATGTTTGCATCATTCATCTGTATTGCATGCACCGGACTCGGCGCATCATACTAACTGCATTGTATTTCAATTCCGATTTGAATACATGATTATCAAGTTGCATCTCATATGCCATCTTAGAATAGCCGAGCCTATTTCTAGTTGCATTTTGCATATGTTGCATTAGCCATCTTAACCACTCTCGAACTCATTCCATTTGGGTCGGGGTGTTTTGCCATCCCTACGTATGGATATATGGCAAATGCTAACAAGTGCTCCCGTGATACATGTTAATATTAGGAATATGAGAAAATGTGTATTGCAAAATTGTAAAAAGATTATAAAATGTTTTATAATTCATTAAAAGTGTATTAAATTAGTAATAAATATTTCGGGATTAACGTATTTTTTATCCTTTTATTGTGCTCTACGCCATTTATTTATTTATTTAAGAATGGAGGGCACTTGTTAAAATAACCCTAGGTATATTTGTTAAAAACAAAAAATAATACTTAATACATGATATAATGTATGTAAAAAAATAAAAATAAAATATTAATCATGTAAATAGTAAAACTAAAACGGTGAGATCTATGAAATAATCTAATGAATGTGAGTAATGAAATTTTAAATATTTGCAGAAATTAGGGGTGCTTGTGGACCCGACCTATCTGCCAAAAATGACTAACTCAATTCAATCCACCAACTTTTAAGCAGTTTCGATAGTATGAGTGGACAGATGCGGATGGAGATTTTCTAAATCCTCATATGTTCAGAGGGATGACAGATGAGAGGCCACTAGAACACTCTGTAGGAAACCAACCAAAAAAAAGATATTTATTAACAACATTATAAATACACTTCTTGTTTGCTTAAAATACGAGCTCTGTAATTTGAAAAATTATAAATATTTATTGTCAAATTTTGTTTTTTTTATGAAAAAATAAAATTTTTAACTGATCTTCTATACAATGATAAAATTATCTAAATTATTAATTGAAATAAAATTTTAATATCATTAAAAACTATTAATTGACTTTATGATTTTTTTAATAAAATAAGTCATTTGTTATGAAATTAGAAATTCAATAAGTGGGATGTAATTTTCAAAAAGGTTCAGCTTGTTTCGAGTTAGATATCAAGACTGGACCGTGTAGTTCGCGACATGGGTCTACTTTTGGGTCTCATCTCGATGATCTGAATCGTTTACATTTTAAGGTTCGTTGAGTATATCATCCATGCAAAAAATCAAGTCGATCGAATAACGAGAATCACGCATTCAAATCAATTTTATATTAACTATTTATTTTTTCGCCGTCCATTTTTTTGGCCTTTATCCACCCTTTACCCTTATTCTTTATTCTCTCATTAGTTGTTTGCTAGCCATTTCTCTATTCTCTCTTATGGAGGGAAAGAACTTCTAAAAAGAGTTGTTCTGGATTGTTGGTAATGACACCAACGTTGTGTTTGCTTGGGGAAATTAAGAAGGAATTTGAAAAAATGAATGGGCAAAGGTGTGCGAAACTTTGTAAAATGTAAATATATTTTCTTCATATTTCACATTCATTTTTTCTTTCTCTTTCCAAATCCCCCAACCAAACATAACATAAAAGATCCTTTTGAAGACCAATGGATACCTACCACAAACAATGAAATGATTGGCCGAGGAATGGTAGATTTTTCTCATTTTTTCAGGTTGCCAACCTAATAGAAAAAACTCTAGAACTTGGAGGGAGCCATGACTCAAATCTCTATTTCCACATGAAATGATCAAGCATATTATCAATACCCACATCCCCATACATTGTTATGTGGCGCCAAACTAAAAATGGATGCAATTCGATTAAGTCAAGCTATTACATGGCGCTGAAAGACCATTTTATGTTAGTCAAAAATGAAAATGGGATTGACGGTGACATTTGGAAGAAAATTAGAAAACTAAACCTTCCAGCCAAGGGGTCAATGTTCATTTGGAAGTTTATTCGCAGAATACCACATGTTGATCTATCTCTTACCAAAAGGGGATTTCAAAATGATTTTATTTGTCCTAGATGTCCTGAAAAGACTGAAATCCTTAAACATGTATTTTTCCGTTGCCCTTTGCAAAACGAATTTGGAGAGGATCTTGCCAAAAGGGAATTTCAAAATGATTTTATTTGTCCTAGATGTCATGAAAAGATTGAAACACTTAAACATGTATTTTTCCGTTGCCCCTTTGCAAAACGAATTTGGAGAGGATCCTGGTTGGGGTTAAACTTTGTTATAGGAAACCCAATAGAGGCTTGATTATTGGTTTCTTGAGTGGATCAAAACTGCACCTGATAATGAAACTCTTGTTGAATCCATCAAAATTCTTTGGGGAATATGGCTTCCTCGCAACAAAGCATCCTTTGAGCATATTGTAGAGGACCCAATTCGGCCTGTGATTTCTATTAACCAACTGGATTGGGAATGCTGTAAAAATATTTTTTCATTTCAAGTACAACTTTGTCAGCTATAGCGGTTGAAAATAATTCTGTGAATTCCATAATTTTTTCTAACAGTGCACAATGCTTTCCAAAGACAACTTTTGACAGGATTATAATAGATGGAGTTTCGATCCGGCATTCAAAGAAAGCAGGGGGCTGCCTGGGATGTGTTCAACAACAATGGGCAACAATCAAGGTCTATGGAGTTCAGTTTTTTGCCTCATCAGCATTGATGGCTAAAACATGTGCATGCTTAGAAGTTTTGGGATGGTGCATGTCCCACAATGTTAACACAGCTGCTATCGTCACTGACAGCCGAGTTAACAGCATTACAAATAGTAAAGCACGTGAATGGTATGTGGACGATGTTATTTTGGATATATGTAATCTCTCTTAGTGTATTGACCATGTTTGTATCACAAAGGAACTATTGTTAAATCCATCAAAATTCTTTGGGGAATATGGCTCCCTCGCAACAAAGCATCCTTTGAGCATATTGTAGAGGACCCAATTCGACCTGTGATTTCTATTAACCAACTGGATTGGGAATGCAGTAAAAATATTTTTTCATTTCAAGGACATCTTTGTCAGCTATAGCGGTTGAAAATAATTCTGTGAATTCCATAATTTTTTCTAACAGTGCACAATGCTTTCCAAAGACAACTTTTGACAGGATTATAATAGATGGAGCTTCGTTCCGGCATTCAAAGAAAGCAGGGGGGCTGCCTGGGATGTGTTCAACAACAATGGGCAACAATCAAGGTCTATGGAGTCCAGTTTTTTGCCTCATCAGCATTGATGGCTAAAGCATGTGCATGCTCAGAAGTTTTGGGATGGTGCATGTCCCACAATGTTAACACAGCTGCTATCCTCATTGACAGCCGAGTTAACAGCATTACAAATAGTAAAGCACGTGAATGGTATGTGGACGATGTTATTTTGGATATATGTAATCTCTCTTAGTGTATTGACCATGTTTGTATCACAAAGGTGCCCAGACGGCAATTCATCAGGCACATATGTTGGCTAAAGCAGCATCGCTACATGCTGCATTTTAGTCCCTTTAAGACTTAAATATATATGCATCTTATCTGTCCTCAAAAAAACAAAAAGAACGAATTTACAAGAGGCTGTAGTTTTTATTCAGGTTTTTTTTTTTTTTTTTTACTTTCCCCCGCTTGGTTCTATTTGGTAGAAGCAACACCTCGTTTGATTAACTATAGTATGTACTAGGTAAGGAGTGGCCTGGTGGGTATCAAGAAAGCTAGAGCTAATGATTTTGACATCATTTCCAAACAATTTACAAAGTTTAATTTAAAACCATAATATGCTCTACTAAAAGCATGGTTGCTAAACTCATCACTTAAAATCCACTTCCTGTAAATATAACTAGTGCAGAATTTTACATAATATTCCCATATCATGTACTCTAGCGAATTTCAGGCAACCTCAAGCCAGTCCCAAAAGCATGGATCAGTGCTTTCACCTCAGAAACACTGTTACAAGTCACGCGTTCTCGCTCAAAACATTCTTCTGGCAGACACTTCAAGCGGTCATCCTTCCAGCTATTCACAGGACACTTGCCGTTGGCTTTTCTCAAAACTGGAGGCACGGAACAATACGAGGAGCAAGCATGAGCACAATTCCACATGAAAAAGAAAAATATAACTAAAAATGAAAATATGAATGCACTAAGGATCAAGGACACGAGTAAGATGCAGCTTCTCACTTCCTAAGAGTTCAGCATCCCTTTTGTTGTTGTCATCACTGGCCACGTAAGTCCACTTGTCCAGTGCCATGCCAAGAAATAATAATAACAGTATCAATGTATTTACACACGTATAAAAATAATATAAATACACATGTATAAAAATAATATAAAGTACCCCAAGACCTTATATCACTTGCCGACAAGGAATATGCTTAAAAGAAGTTGAATAACACAGGTAGCTAATCATGGCTGAAATGTAAGGGCCACATAAAAGGCGTAATAAAAATATTAAATAGGATTATCTAACAAAATAAATAACCAATAGATAAGACAAGTTGGACTCATCTTCCCAAATGTCATTGGCCCCTTACCTCATTCGGACAATTGTTTTCCAATTTCGCTGAGACGATTACGAAAGCCAAATGCTCAAGTCGTACCATCTCATCTCCTGCAACGTAAATTATTGAAATATAAAAAATCAAAAACAAAACTATAAACCAAAAACTAAAATACAAAAAACAAAAAATGATATGCACGAACCTAATTCATTCAAACTACTCAATTGTGATGCAATCCCTAAACCGTTTTCCGAGAAGGCATAATATGGACATGGTATATGTTCTAGACAGATATTCCATGGTCTTACTCTATGCCTCAAGCAAGCACAAAAATGCAAACTATTACTCACCGTAAAACAATAACAATAAAAGATCTGATATAAGACTACAAATAAAACTCACTCAACACAATTCGAAGGTAGTAAAACCAAGGAAGAAGAATTAAAATCACCGGTGGGTCCAATGGAAGGAGAGAAATCATACCATAAACACTCGCCACATCCCCCGATAACTTGTAAATGATGTATATAGGAACTTTCACAGGCTTCAGAGCCAAACAGTTTAGCGGTCTATCATTGAGGATCCTCCGGACAGTCTCACCAACTCTAGATAGAGAGAGGCCAAACAAAATATGTTTTAGATTGATGAAACGGTGATCCCGCATTCTTCTTTCATGATCAGCAATCTGAACTACTTCGATAACCTCATCCGCAAAACGTCCAAAGACACCACATGATAAAGGAAAAGTAACTGCTTCCTGAAAACGCTGCAACTGTTGTGCGCATGCACATGTGCAAGCACATGTGAGAAGAAAAGGAAGAAGTTGACAAACAATTAACAAGAAACATCAGGATGCACCACCAAGCTATCTCCATCTCTATTGACGAAAAAATATAGTGACAAGGACACATGAAATTTGTAAACATGAAAAATGACAATGACAATTACATGTAAAAAATTAAAGGAGCATATAAATCATGCACTTCAAATCATCACAAGCAAGCATATCACAAGACGACATACTATGAAACGTAGACACGACATGCATACGGACACGGAACACCAGACACAGATATGACATCACACGGATACATCAACGTGGAAAATTTTAGAAAAGACAAACTATAGCAAAAACATAATTGTAACACGTCTCTCATCATTTTAAACCATATGCTAATACATTTACATATCTTTGTCATTTAATTTTATGTGAAAGGTCTGTAGGATCTATTCTTAAGAACTACACATTTTTTAAGGGTATAAGATAATTATGTCAAATTCTCAACTTTGAAACTAAGACGTCAGCAAATCTCTAAAATTGTTGGTCTAATGTTTATATTTTAGAGATAAACATGGCCAAGAAATGAAGGACACGTTGCAAAAATGAATGTCAAACTCGTGTCCAAAATTCAGATTTTTATTTTTAATTATGGACAAGAAAAAAATATATATATATATATATATATATTGAGCACGTGTTCCAAAGTGTCAGAGCAGCGTTTGCGTCCGACACGGACACGTCACCTTCTCAGAAGTGTTTGTGATTCTTAGCCATAGAATCCAAAAATTAGCAAAGACTGCAAGACGAGATAAAACTAATGCCCATCACACTCCCAAAATAGTACAGTGTACAACATCCCAAATCCCAATCATCTTACATATCGACTATAATTTATGCAGAAGTTGCACAATAGATGCTACCTGCGGAAATATAATGCAGCATACAATTGCAAAAATAAATAAATTTGCACAAACCTACTACATTTAGCTAAGAAAACAGCAAATACTGTCGAAAGTTTTTCCTAAGAAATTCAAATATAAGCCAATAACAAATTTAATGATATAAACAGCACCCTCCACTGCGATGAATTAATTCACATGTTAATCGGTAAGATAAAAGACAAATCAATACAAACTACTTTCATCTCCATGCTGTGCACATGCAAATGCAATTATGTATAGAGTTTGCAAAAAACAGCTGATCTAAAATTAAACTGCGCTGAAGTTGACCTTAAACGGAGTTGGCAAAGAATGGCTATGAATTAATAAAATATAGCTTTCTCTAAATCAAACTGACAACTTTTAGATCGTTTAACTGGATAGGATTCAAAACATAATCTTCTAGCACTTTCAATGGCACCCAAAAACAAATTTTACAGTCATTGGGATATCTTTAAAAGAAATATACACGCCAAAACCAACAAACAAAAATCAAATGCACACATAGGCCATTAGTAGTATCAGCTAATAATAAGAACAGATAAACCCACTTTGAGCCGGATACTGCCAATTCCTCTTTGGAAAGAGTATACAAAACATGCACAAGGATTGAGTATAGCCTACACATACAGTTATAATAAATAAACAGGTTTGGGTAAAAGTATATTGTTATCGGATATAGAAAAAGGGGAAATGATCACACAACGTTATTTTTTTATTGATAAGCAATCATACAATGGTATTCATTTAACTGCCACATCGCATTTGGGGCCGAGGAAGAAAAATCATAACATAGAAGGAAACAGTGTTGGTTTCAAAAGCAGCATATGCAGAATTCAGACAACTATGGACATATGCTGATGCAAGAAGCACTACTCAATCCCTCCATCTACTTTGCAACCAGGAAATAAAACATAAATTGGAGGATGAAAGTCAAATAAAAACACAGACACACGTCACAAATAAAAAAACAGAAGGGTGTACCGCGGATATTTTGAGCTCGGCCAAGAAGAATAGCCCACACTTGAAAGTATGAACAAATTCAGAGAGCTTAGAATTTTCTAAATTAACTAACTCCTCAAACTTGACACACTTCCAAGCCTCTACAAATAAAGTATCAAGAACATGGTAACCTCTTGCGCGCCTCAACTCCAAAGTTAGCTGCACTTTACAATCTTCCTGGTTTTACAAGAGCAAAATTGAACATAATGATTCACCTCTTTAAAAGAAATGTAAACCATAATAAATGAGATACAATTTTGGAAACACATCAAGGCACAGCAGCGAAAGAGTTAATATGCCAACAAGATCAGACTGGACAAGCAGCCCAACTGACTGGACAGAAAATCTGTTTGCCATTATCATCAGTTGCAATGCCTTTGGTATGCCAACAAGATCAGACACAAATGGCACCCTAACTCACAAGGTTGGAACACCAAACATTTGAGAAAAGTAATTTGATCATTTTGATGTAAATTTTAATACAGATTGCTTAATAAAAGTAAAGGAAACTGATGTTATGTTAAAGGAAAGAACCAGGCAATCATAGAGACTTTCATAACACCAAAATTGATTTCAAGCTCATACCTTCAAAGGCACATACTTCTGCATTTCACCCAATGCAAGGCCTCTATCACGCGGGCTGCTAACAATATCCAACTACAACCATAAGAATCACAAATTAGCATAGCACGATGAGGAATTCATCATTGATAAATGAATTAGTAGAACAATTAGAGTGTTCTATCTAGAAAAAGTGCACAATTTTAGTCCATAAGTTGAAACAAAAATTACCATGTTTGGTTTGAGTTTTTTGGATTAAGTTTTTTGAAAATTAAGTTTTTTGTTTTTCGTGTTTTTTTGTTTTTAGTGAATATTTTTAAAATTTTAGGCATTTTTTTTACTTTTTTAGATGCACCTTACTTAGATGTATCTAAAAAGTAAAAAAACTGTGAAAAAATATTTTAACAATTTGATAAATACATAAAAATACAAAATATACACTAAATTCTCATTTTTTTTTTTTTTGTATTTTTGGTATTTAGTGAATTTTTAAAAAAAAAACACAAAAATTACACTTTTTATGTGTATTTATGTTCGCTGTGTCTAAAAATCAAAAAAATTGCTTAAAATATTAAAAAAAATAGTAAAAACAAAAAAAAAACACGGAAACACAAGAAAGAAGAATTTTCTGAAAGTGATTTTTGGAAAACCAAAAACAAGCAAAGTGAATATTACCTCGGCCTTGGAAATATCCAAATCCCAAAGAAAAACCTATATTGAAAAGTAAGCACACAAAATCAGAGTTCACAAAAACACAATAAAGAACAAAGGAAAATAACCAAAAAAAGAAAAAGAAACCCACATCAAATAATTATTTGAACAAATGACAAAGATAAGGTTTGAAGTGAAAAGCTAGTTAGAGGAATAAAAAATAATTAAAAAAAACACCATTGTCCCAAAAAAAATAAAAAATAAAAAAAAAAACACAACCACTAGCAAGAGACAAGCAATTTGGAAAGGCATTGTTTGCAAAAATGAGCCAGAAGACAACAGTAGTGATTATCCAGAAAAAAGGTTTGCATGGACTCTGAAAGATGAAACATTTTTAAGTTGCAGAACAACAGACAAATAAGAGAACAATCCAGAAAAAAGGTTTGCATGGACTCTGAAAGATGAAACATTTTTAAGTTGCAGAACAACAGACAAATAAGAGAACAAACAAGGGAGCCAAAAGGGTCATCTAACTCACGCTCACCCCATTTATGTTTCAAGCAGCTGAGTGCAATAAATTATGGGAAGAAACTATTGAAAATTAACAATTAAAGCAACCAGCGAGAAAGAAAGGGTGAGCATTGGGCTGTGATCACACAAATTGAGTCACTCAAATGGGCAGTTCGTTTTTCCTAAATTAGAATACAAGCCTTGAATTAGATAAAATGGGTAGAGTTGTAGGCTGGGCCAGAATTGGGAGTGCCAGCTGGTGTCCAAGTTTTTGACTTCATTGAGGCTTTATAACTCTTTGACTATTTCTCGTCATCAAAGAGGCAGCAGTGAGAATATTGGGAGCAGGTGGATGTACAGGGGTAAACAGGTGCACCTCAATTGCTTCCCAGCAGACAGATGTTATAGAATACATGGATTGATGGATATGTGGGTCAGATTCCTTGGACTGCCACTCCACTTGTAATGTGTTTCAGGCTTTGGAGATGCATGTGGTGGCTTTGTCAAAATGGATGAACATGACAAAAAGCTGGCAATAGGTTTTCAAGCATATGTCATAGAATTTTCCAGTGATGACCAAGACGCTCAAAGGTCACCAAAGCCAAGGATGATGAATGAAGGTGTATAACATATGGGAACTGCACAGAGACTGAGTGTGTGGGAGGTAATGAATCCCTTATGGGATGGTGGTACAATTGTCCGACAGATGGAGATTTTTTCAAAATTTAAGTGTAGAAACAAAGGGGTATGTGGATAAAGAAGGTTTGACCACGTGACAAGGATCTGAACGTACCATTTTTACTATTGGTATGGTACACACCGCTACCGTTGAATTTTGGTATACTGTTTCAGATTTATAATCATAAACTAAATATTAAAATTTAATTTAGATGTATATATTATAACAATAAAAAATTTATTTTTGAAAAAAAAGCCAACTTGACTGGTAATCAAATTCTCCTATAACAAAGAAAATAATAATATTAATAACAACAATAATAAGTAATGGAAAGTGTTTACTTTTTAGAGTGTCAAGAAACCTTTCCCAGGCGTTTTATTCTTCCTCTTTTTTCTTGCTTTGCTGCTTCCTTTAAATTCTTTGCAAAGTAGAATAATGCAGTTTTCATTTCGAAAACGATATCATCACTTTGGGAACTGAGAGTTGTACATATTCTATTCTCCTTCCCTCCCTCCTTGCCGAATGCAACATACAACTCCCCGTTGTACTACACTCTCCAAGTGTGTTTGTTCCCCCCTTTTTCCATACCAAACAAGAATACACCTTCCCTCCTCCCTTTCCGAATGCAGCATACAACTCCCCGTTGTACTGCACTCTCCAAGTGTGTTTGTTCCCTCCTTTTTTCATAATAAGAACCCCCCCCCCCCCTCTCTCTCTCTGTGCGTGCATGTGTGCGCTCGCGGGGCACTAGATACTTCTCTTCCATCTTCTGATTTCAGTATATCAGACACTAATAGAAACAAAAGCCGGAATAGCCGAAAAATGAAAAAACTACAAGATAGACAGAAATAGTCCAGTATTTTGAGTGAAAGAAAAGATGGATGCATGTACCATTTTTGTGCCGGAGGGGAACACCCCGGGGTGTACTGACTAATACAATACAAATTATTAACATTGGTCCAAACCAGGGTTGAATGGTATGTAAGTGAGGCCATGAAATGTGTCATTGGAAGGAAAGGGAGAAGCAATAACTAGGTGGAGGACAAAATGCATCAGAATTCCATAAAAGACTCCTAATAATACTAATCACTTCACTTCAAATGCATCCAACAAGCAGAACACAATAATTCCCTCTTGTTCGAGAAAACATGAACTTAAGTTCCATTCAATATCCCAAAAAAAAAAAATAGAACCATCTAAATCTTCATTTTTCACTAAAGTTTCTTTTTTTTTTTTAAATTAAAAAAAAGAGTCTAAATCCTTATCTTGCATCTTTGCTTTGATTTTAAACTAATGCAACTTGGCCGATCAAAAAAACCAAATGCAACTTGGTCTTCATGATAATTTATCAAACATGTCCAGGCAACTATAACATGCAAACTTTATGTTAGAGAGAGAGAGAGAGAGATAAAAAATAGACGATAATGGAAAGAGAAGAAAAGAAAATACGGGCAAAAGAACAGGAGGTGAAAAGTGGGAATAAGTAGGAGCTATGAAGCACGGACACCTCTCCGAGGGCTACGTATCAATGTCGGACACGGACACGCGTCGAATATGCGGTGCACACGTGTCAGACATGTCGCAGAAGGTGTCCCTTTTTTTTTTTTGGTGCAGTTGGACACATTATGGACACGTTTCAAACACTGCGGGGTCAAAAACAAAATTTCTAAAACTTCAAGTGGGCATTTGTAAAAAACAAAAATTGAAACAATCAAACCAAACCCTAACCTTGATTTCAAACAGAAAGAGGAGAAAAGGCCGATTTGCTCTTGCCAAGGTATGTTTGTTCTTCTTTCTATCTTCTTCTTCTTCTTTCGACCATCTTCTTCTTCTGCTTTTCAATCTCACTCTCTCTCTTTCGACTTCTCTCAATCGCTCTCTGGCTGTCTCTCTCTTTCTTTCTTAGTCGCTCTCTCTCTCTCTCTCTCTCTCTCTCTCTCTCTCTCAGCCTCACTGTCTCTCTTTTTGTCTTTTCTTTTTCCTTTTTATGCTGATATTCAATCTCTCTCTCTGCTTTTTGTTTATATTGTTCTTTTTTCATTTTTTTCTTATTTTTTTGGCTTTTCTCAGTCTTTAAACTTTATCTCTATTATTTATTTATATATTTTTGGCTAATTAGTTTATTTATTTATTTATTTTCTCTACTTTCAATAAAAAAAATTTATAATTTTATGACATAATAAATAAATTTAATTGTATATTCAACGTATCCCCAGCATGTCGTGCAGTGTTATTAAAGGTGATAGGCGAACTAAGGCATCAAGGTCTCCTGGGGCCTAGGCTCAAGACACAAGGCGAGGTGCAGGCTTCACCGAAGTGAGGCGCACCTTATACAGAAAAAAAAAATAAAAAATAAATAAATAAAAATAAAAATAAAAATTAAATAAGTAAATAGTTTTGGGTTCAGCATAAACAAATTGAAATGTTAACCATTTAGTGTTTTTTGGAGATTATGAATTAGGGCTAATTTTTCTTCCATCATTGATTTAGGGTTGAATGCCCAATGTATTGGCATCTATAGTAAGAGTAGAGATCTTCTATAACCACACCATATAAAATCAATGGTCATATTTTAAACAAAATCAATTAAAGTAACAATAAAAAAAGCCCTCAAGACGCAAGCCTTGGGCCAGTTAGGCGCCTTATCAAAGTTGTCTGACTTGGAACACTACAAGGCGCAAACCTTGGGCCTGGACGGGACTTCGGCCTAGGCGCATGCCTAGCCGCGCCTTACCGAAGTCGCCTGGCCTAGAACACTACAAGGCGCAAACATTGGGCCTAGATGGGACTTGGGCCTAGGCGCGCCTTTAATAACACTAGTGTCGTGTCCCCTATTTTTTAAAAATTTGCGTGTCCGTGTCATGTCATGTCATGTGTCCATATCCGTGTCTGTGCTTCGTAGAGTAAGAGGAAATGCATAGAGAATCTCAAGAAAGGAATAAGAATAGAGATTGGGAGAAGTAAAATATGGGGACATAACACAATCCCAAAGCAATATTTCAATCTCAATTATTCAATACTCAAATAATATTAACTATGATAAATATTGTGGTTTCAAACCAACTTTATTAACGAGCTTTTTTGTCATTGTTTATCATTTTCAATTTTTCAATCACCATTCTTTCTTTTTTTAGCAACTTTCAAACAATAAATGCCTAAAAGTGATTAAAAAAAACAAAAAATGAAAAAAAGAACGTTAATTTTTTCTTAAAAAAAAAAACAATGGGTTCAGCATAAACAAATTGAAATGTTAACCATTTAGTGTTTTTTGTAGATTATGAATTAGGGCTAATTTTTCTTCCATCATTGATTTAGGGTTGAATGCCCAATGTATTGGCATCTGTAGTAAGAGTAGAGATCTTCTGTAACTACACCATATAAAATCAATGGTCAGATTTTAAACAAAATCACAAAAAGTAACAATAAAAAAAGCCCTCAAGACGCAAGCCTTGGGCCAGTTAGGCGCCTTATCAAAGTTGCCTGACTTGGAACACTACAAGGCGCAAACCTTGGGCCTGGACGGGACTTTGGCCTAGGCGCATGCCTAGCCGCGCCTTATTGAAGTCGCCTGGCCTAGAACACTACAAGGCGCAAACATTGGGCCTAGATGGGACTTGGGCCTAGGCGCGCCTTTAATAACACTAGTGTCGTGTCCCCTATTTTTTAAAAATTTGCATGTCCGTGTCATGTCATGTCATGTATCCATATCCGTGTCCGTGCTTCATAGAGTAAGAGGAAATGCATAGAGAATCTCAAGAAAGGAATAAGAATAGAGAGTGGGGGAAGTAAAATATGGGAACATAACAAAATCCCAAAGCAATATTTCAATCTCAATTATTCAATACTCAAATAATATTAACTATGATAAATATTGTGGTTTCAAACCAACTTTATTAATGAGCTTTTTTGTCATTGTTTATCATTTTCAATTTTTCAATCACCATTCTTTCTTTTTTTAGCAACTTTCAAACAATAAATGCCTAAAAGTGATTAAAAAATACAAAAAATGAAAAAAAGAATGTTAATTTTTTCTTAAAAAAAAAAACAAGACAAAGAAGGCAGCTGAAAAAGATTGACGTTAATCTATCGACCTCTATGACACTCCACATGGTTAACTGATGAATAATGATGATTAATCCATCTTTTCCTAATAACACAATTTATTTTACAAATATTCACCACATAACCTATGCAGCTAACACTAGATTTACAGAATTACTCCAATGCAAGGTGACACCAGATTCCTAAACTATCAATATGGTTAGGTGCATCCAAACAATCATTTAAAAGTTTCAATTTCAAATAGATGATATGACCAATTTATGCAACAAAAAAATTAGGGAATCCATCTTGCTTTAAATACAAAACCAAGTAGCGAATATCTTGGAAAAAATCAACCAACACAACTCGAATACACTTCCAGAAAAAAAACGAGAAGACGGAATATTACCTTGAAGTCGTCGTATTGGTACCCATAATCTTTAAATATCGATAAGTATCTCTCATATCGCTGCATACATGCAATTATCCATGCAAGAAACACATGGGATAGTAAGTATTAAGGTTAAGACTCATTGCTACACAAAAGGAAATGATTGTTACCTGTTGCATCTCACCAACATCATGTTCCCTTAGGATAGAAAATGCTTTTACATCCATCCCCCCTTCAGTAAAGGCTTTCAGAGGACCACCATCGGACTGCATATCAGGGAAGGAGTTAAATGATCAATTCCACGAAAGAACATGGGTAAAAAAAAACAGAGGAAAAAAGTGTTCAAGTCAGGTGCTGTTTGAAAAAGCTAAAAACAAAAGACTAAAAATTAAGTATTAAGAACTGAATTCTTAATTTTTTAAGCTAACAAACCTATTAGATAAAAATTGCGCTAAACTAAAAATAAGTTACATGTATAAGATCAAATTTGAAATTTATTATCTTCAGCTTGTATATTTCAATTTTCATATTGTGATGATGGTGGCAGTGGTGGGTTGTGATGGTATGATGGTGATGGTGATGGTGATGGCGGTAGCAGTAGCAATGGTAATGGTAGTAAATGATGGTGTTGCTTATGGCAACAATGACAATGGTGATAAAGGTAGTGGTGGTGGTGGTGGTGGCGGCGGTGGCGGCGGCAGCATGATAATGGTAGTGGTGGCGATAACAGTGGTAGTGATGGCATTGGCATGGTTGTGGTGGTGGTGGTGGTGGTGGTGGTGGTGGTGATAGTGGTAACGATAGTAGTGGTAGTGGTAGTGGTGGTAGCAACGGCGGAAGCCCTAACGATGGTGGTGGTGGTAACGGTAGCAGCCATTTGATTGCACACACTTCTCTGGCAATGACATTGAGTGCAAGTTTTTACGACAACCACAACTCCATGAGATGAGAGAAGAACAACAATAAAAACTCAAGAGATTCATAACTTTGATGGTGTTCTTAACTTAGAATAAATTGGTCTTGTAAGGATAAATTTTTTGAAAAAAATGACAAAAATAATAAAAATTGTTCGTCATTTTTTCGAGACTGAACTCCCAAACATATGACCAAAATTTGGGAACACAGGTTCAAACATTGTTTATTTGTTCAGGAACACGTAACTGAACATTACTTATTTGTTCCAGAACAGATAACCGAAGCAGCAGTAGAAACAGGCAAACAAAGGAGGTCGGACCACCCTTGGGTGGTCGACCGGTGGGTGAAATCCTGCTTTGTTTTGCTCACAGTGTGGCCATGGATAAATGACAGAAAACCAACCAGAAAAGCATGAAAGTGGGTTGTGTTGTGTCGTGTCGTGTCGTGTAAAAAGAGATAATAGAAAGAAAAAAAAAAAATTCAAACAGATTGACAAATATTATAATGAAGCAGAGAAAAATTCTGAATCATCACAAATTTTTTCCACTGGTTTTGGGAAGCTCCACTGTCGTTGGTTTTGTTAGGGTTTTGGGAGAGAGGCTTTTTGGGGTGTGGGGGCGTGGGGGCGTGCATTTTAATGGGAGGAATGTTTTTACAAAGATAATTTTGGTATCATTTGGGGTGAGAAAAGAAATTTTAAGAGTTTTAGAATTTATAAGTGGAGGTCTAAAGAAATGGGGAGTCCAAAATAATTGGAGTGCTAATAGTAGCCCTCATAAAAAAACATAGAACCAACTTGTATTTAAAGATTAGTTTTTAGTGACTAGTCTCACTGGCATAAGATTCAGAGGTTTTTTTATTATTATTTTAAAGCAGATTTTCAGCTTTAAGTGGTAACCTGTTGTGTGCTATGAAATGCACTTGATTGCCCAACCACTGAATATATCATGAAATAAGCACTTCTTATATCTCAAATCTTGATAACAAAAGCATTCCATAGGTACGCACCTCAAGATGTGATTGGTATGAAGAATAGAGTGCAGCACATTTTTTTTTGATCTTACGTACATTATATATTCTTTTGAAATCATCCTGCAAGAAGAACCAAAACAAACATAAGGACAATAAAAGAAGTGTTTATGTAAATCAAAAGAACCCAACTCCCACACAAAATAGTCTTGCTACATGTAAGAATCAAAATTTGCAAAACAAATTCACTAGAACATTTTTGTTTGATAATGTTGTTGATTTCTTGTTTCCTATTTATAGAAAACAAAAAATAAGTTTTATAAACAAACTTTGAAAACAAAAAATAAACGAGTTTGATAAGTGCTGGTGACCCGTTGTTGAGGGTCAACGGAAACTTGTTTGGTGTACAAAAAAGTTTTGAAAACAAAACAAAAAAAACAAGTTTGGTAAGTTGCAGTGACGTGTAATTGAGGGTAGACGGATGTGGTGGCCCGAGGTAGGGGTTGTAAAGGGTGGGGGTTGGAGTTGGTGGTCAAATTATCGCTAGAGGTCACGACATGGCCGAGGGTCACAAGAGGTGACCATCTGATAGCCAGAAGGTGGTCAGAGCTTACAGATGGCCGCTAACGGTGGGTGGTGGCGGCAGCAAATGGTAGCTGGAGGTGGTGAGAGAGGGAGAATGAAATTTTGTTTTAAAACAAGTGAACACTCATTTTTTATTTTTTATTTTTGTTTCCAAAATTTTAAAATTAATTCCATTTTTTTAAATCAAAAATAAAACCAAACAAGTTTTCATTTGCAGTTTCAAAAAAAGAAAAAAAAAACAGTAACCATACTAAACAAGACCTTACATTTTTGCTGAATTCCACCCCAAGAAAATAATTTCAAATATAATCAAGTCCACACATCTCATAAAAATCAAGCACTAGCAATAAGCGTAATAAACATAGTAATTACCAGTGCACCATGCAGATGTCAACTTGATGTGCCCAAAATTGAATAATGTGCATGTCACTAGTTTGCCCCACTTACATACATAATACATTAAAAGAATAATTTTGTCTTGCTTCATAGTCCAAGATAATGGTTGTGTTTGGTTTGTGTTTTGAGATAAAGAAATTTTAAAAAAATTTGGGGAATGAGTTTAAAAATTTTTTTTTTGGTTTGTTTGGTTGTATATTTTGAACATAGTTTTGGAGTTTGGGATGATTTGATATTTTGTTGTAGTTGAGTAGATGTGTGTGAGAGAAAAAGTGATCGAAAAGGAGAGAGGAGACAGAAAAAGTGATTGATTGATATGTAATAGAGAGAGAGAGAGAGAGAAGTAATTTTGGAATTTTTTTGAGAAAATTTGTAACCAAACATGTTTTTGGAAATTTTCTTTCAAAAACATGTTTCAAAACACAAACCAAACACACCCAATATGTTTTTCAAATGTTCCTGACTACCAAAAGCAATATACACTCAAAACTCAGTAAGGGCAGCTTCGCCCAACAGCCAATCTGCCATTAGCGCTTCTGGTGGCACAGGTTCAAATAATAGAAACAACTTTTTGGGTGCCACATACCCAATATCCTAGAAATCAACTACCAAAACCCATCAACATCTCTCATAATTAGAACTTGCCAAAAAAACTCTTGCCTATATTCAAAGCTGATTCTGAGAGAAAATTATTCACAAAGGCCAAAAAGAAACTTGATTGGCATAATTTGTAATCCTGACAGCTGGGTAATTCTATGTGCGCACAACACATTGAATCTCAGCGAACAACATTTGTATTGTTCAGATATAAACTTCCGAACAAAAAAAAAAAGTGTTCAATCATCCATTTCGTTCAATAATTTATATCCAAACAGCTATCTTTTGTATGGAAGTTTATGCCCGAACATTTGACTTTTGTTTGAAAGTTTATAACCTAACGACATAAGCAGTGTGTATTGTGATTTTCTACAGTGTGTGAATGGAATTTCCCCTTTACCAAGCCACTCCTCACCCAGTATATCGAAACAAAATTGGATGCCATAAACACTTGATTCATTTTGATTCAGTACCCAATCAAAAATGCCACGCTAACTCAAAACTCTTATCAGTCCTTCATAGAGAGGCTCAGTAATCATTCTAGTATCTTTGTCAAGCAAATGATGAAACACTACTGAGTCCATCAAAAACTGTTAAAACCAAAAATAAAGGATTTAGAGCATTTGCAACAATCATTGAATATAATGCATACATATTGCACAAATAAATAAACTTCTAATAAGAAGGCAAAGAAAATTGATTGGGAAAAAAACAATAACCATAAAAAGTAAATGTGTATGTATAAGAAAACAGAATTTACCACATCAAAAATGCTCAAGACAAACTTTGCAAAAGTACCAAACACACTGTCCCGAACAGTATTGTGTAACTTCGCCAACGTATCCCAAGGAAGAAGGAGCATCCCTTTCAAAGTCAATGCTACAACAGCCTCTACAATCTTCTCTACTTCTCCACGGCATTTTCGGTTTCCAATTGCAGCAGACCATAAACCAATTTGCAAGTGCTAAAATAATGTTCTTTGAAAAATTAGGGATTGGAGAGAAAATACACAACAAAGAAACCGCATTAAATAAACGCATGGAGTAAGATCAATCCATATTTTATAATTTGGTTTGGATAACAATTCCTTTCAACTATGCTTCTAATTAAAAAAAAAAAAAACAAATTGAACCCCGCTAATAAAATCCAATAGCCAATAATATCCTTTGGATGTCAATCGAGAAAACAAACAGCGTTGCACTATCTCATCGTATATACAATCACCCGCAAGGAATCCAAAACATACAGGTTTGCCCTACAACTACTACTTGAGCATTAGTGCACAATTCGGTAACTTGTGGAAAACCTCTCTCTCTCTCTCTCTCTCTCTCTCTCTCTCTCTCTCTCTCTCTCTTATTGGAACTCTAACTCTCTTTTATTTGACCAAATGAAAAGACTTTCATTTATTAAAAAGATAATGGCCTTTACTATTTTTTATAGTTGACATAAGCAACCATTTTTTTTAATTTGTACATTGGTATATGTGTTTTAAAGTTTCAATGCTATTACTCATTTTAAGATTTTTTCTCTACGTTGTATTTTTTCTTAGAATGCTTGAATTTGTTGATTAATTTTGTTTTTATGCCTAAAATGATTTTTATTTGCTATAACTTTTTTTTTAAAAAAAATTATTGAAAACTCATCATATATTTTTAAAAATATATATTAAAAAATGTATCCCTGTACCCGTGTGCAACTTTTTATGGGTGTCCCCATACCCTAAAACCAGAAAAAATGGAGAAGAATCCGACTCTTAGACACATCCGTGTCCAACATTTCTATTGAGTCCGTGTAACATTGGTCACCACTACCATCACCATTAGTAACCACCACAACGATAACAATACTTCTATAAAACAAATGAGCATCCAAATTACTATCAAATGTTTTAATAAGCAAAAAAAACTTCTTCATGAGCTTTAAGTCACAACTGGAGGTACGCCACCACAAAATTGCAAAGAAAGCAGCTTTATTCCTAATAATCACAATTCAAGGTATACATAATTATGGGGATTGCAGATTCAGATAAACTCATATCAATGCATTACTCAGTTAGCATAAAAGAAGTAAGACAAAACAAAGCCGTCAACCATTTCTTAAAAATGAAACCATCATAGAATGCAAAGCAAATAACAAAGTCTATCAGCAATAAATAGCTATACAAGAAGACATAGAACATTATTTACCTAGTAAGATAGACGTGCAGTAAAGTGTATCAAAAGCACATGTAGATTTGGATGTGGTTGGAGTCTTTGTGTACATAATCACAGAGGATGTATTCATTCAAATTTTAGTCAACCAAATCTTCTACATACATACATAGTAGCAATTGTTCCATATCGCTATCATCAAAGTTCAAACAAATACGAGAAAAAAAGGAAACAAATCAATCTAAATTGACAAATTTTATATTCATCGAATCAAATAGGACCAATAATATACAAGAATACATTTCGAGAAATGATTTTGGCATGAATACAAGACATAAATGTGTCAGTGTGTTTCTATAATAGATGAAATCAATCAGATACTGCCCATAAAACATCTGGGAGATGATGAAGTTTTACCTTTTTGCCACACGAGTCTCTTCCTCTGGCCTTTGATGTTCCCCTAACCTTCCTCTTTCCAAGATGTTGTTTCTTACATTCGTTAACAGTCATCTCCTGCAAGACATAAACAGGGAAAAGATAAATGGCAGTGAGTTTTCAGTTACGCACAGGTGGTCTTCTGCACTCGGCAAGTAAACATTACCCTTGAACCATCTTCTTCTTGAACCTTTTCATTATAACTATCTAGAGTAACTCCTTGTTTAACGTTCCCGCTTTTAGATACAATTAGAGCAGCATCCCTGTTTCAGATAAGTAATGGAATACTGGTAAAGAATGGTGAAATTTTAAGAACAAAAACAACCACCACCCAAAAAAACAGGGCGTGACAACAAGGAATCAGAGATAAATAAACAAATGCACTTCACAATCAAAAACATATAGTCAAGGTGTAAAATCCACAGTAGATGAAGAGAAGAATGGGAGAATACGTATTAATATACAATATTTTTTTTGTTTATCATTGAATTTCAAGTTTTTATTTGTTTTTTAAACTTGTAGTACATTTCATGCATGTCTAAACAACGTACATGTCAAGAAGTGTCTGATGAGCATCATGCCAAAGTTTGACACGAGGTTAGTGTCGTGTCATGTCGTGTCCTATCCGATGTCCAAAACGCTTTTTAACATAACAAGCACCTTCCTAGAAGACTTCACACCTCTAATATATTGTCAAATCCAAATTTGTCAACTATTTTAATATTTTTTTTATGCACCTGTGTAGAGTGCAAAGTGTTATATCATATCTTTTGTAAAACGAAAAACTTTTACTACTAGAGTTTTATATTGTATAATATTATATTTACATTTTACATGGACCATTACATTTTTCACAATATTTTCACTTATTTTTGTTATAATTTAGGCCTATTTTATGTATAGTTTTTAAGGAAATTTGGAAATTAAAGTGTTATCAATTTTTCTTTTTCTGCGAGATCTTACAATCCTTAATCTGATTCTACGATCCGATGTTGTAACCAACCCCAGCAATCCAATGTACTGTTCCGATTTTAACAACCTTGATTAAATATTAGGGTTTAAATTGGAAGAAAAAAAGGGTTTAATTTGTTACAAGAGTCAAACCCCATGATTTTTTGTAATTTCCGCTAAACAAAGCGTTTTATATTGTATAATATTATATTTACATTTTACATGGAGCATTACATTTTTCACAATATTTTCACTTATTTTTGTTATAATTTAGGCTTATTTTATGTATAGTTTTTAAGGAGATTTGGAAATTAAATTGTTATCAATTTTTCTTTTTCTGTGAGATCTTACAATCCTCAATCTGATTCTACGATCCGATGTTGTAACCAACCCCAGCAATCCAATGTACTGTTCCAATTTTAACAACCTTGATTAAATATTAGGGTTTAAATTGGAAGAAAAAAAGGGTTTAATTTGTTACAAGAGTCAAACCCCATGATTTTTTGTAATTTCCGCTAAACAAAGCAAAATCACATGTAGCTCTCTAATTTCTAGAAATCAAAAGCAAATTAACACCCTTAAAGAGGCTCAAAAAACATAAAACAATAGATCCTATCCCATAATTCCATCTTCAAACTTATTCTCAAATATTCTTACATTTCTCTCCAACCAATAACCAAAATCACAACACAATTAGTACAAACCCACAGAACAAGAGCTCTCATGATGGAACTAAAACCCCTATAGTCAATAAAATAAAATCCATCTAAATGCATAAAGCTGGAGGAAACAATTTAACCGAAATGTCATGGCCACATAATCCTCTACTTGGGAAGTAAATAACAATTAGGCATCCTACTTTGAAACATGCCATTAGTATTAATTAAACTTTAAAATGCCATAACCATGCAAAAACTATAACTTTTAGGAGGCACACTTGCATTCCAAATTATCTTGCGAGGGGCAAAACCTGGAAGATTAGGATTATAAATAAACATATCAAAAAACGAGTTACAAAGAGAATAAGCCAGATGAATGAATAGTCTACACAATAATATCAACGGCTCCATAACTCAATGGATAACTTGCACTGTTTTTTATTTTATTTTTTTAAAAACGAATTTTAGTTTAATTGTACTTCTAATATATATAAACTATGTTCATTTTAATAACATAAACTGTAAAGGATAAAAGACAAACAAACATACTAACCAACCATGTAACAAAATCAATAGGAACTAAAGTACAAATAACGACAAGAAGGAGAATAATGACTTAAAGCTCACCATCCATCCCAAACATGAACAATGTTACCGCCACTAAAAGTCACCACATCATCATCATCATCATCAGAGTCAAACTTGTATTGACGAGCAATCGAAAATATAGTTAGGACTACGCGTAAGTCTTCAATAGTTGTCCTAATTTGGCAGTCCAAACAAACAGAAGGCATGAATTGATATATAAATTAAAGACAGTCCAATTAAAAATAATAATAATAATAAATAAAAAAGAAGGCGATAATCTGACAACAGATAATAACAAGGCATGCTTACTCTCGTCGATCCAAATTCTCACTTTCAAGTATCTTTTGGCCATCATGGGAATTGCTCCCACTTCCGTGTACTCCATCATCATTGGATTCATTGTCCTCTTCAACAATTACCCTAATTTTGGCCACACACAAGATAGATAATACATACTAAGTCTCTTTAGTTTAGACCATGAGCAAATGTTTGTTATTAATGTGAAGCGAAGTCCCGCATCGCCGGAGTACTAAAGTAATGTTATAGCATAGAAGCGTGAGGAGGGAATCTACACACACCTCAATAACATGACTAGCTTTTAGGGCATGTAACAGTTAACAGTTCGCATACTGAATCAAAGAAGAATAAGTTGTACAGATTACCTTCCAGCACCATCATCACTATAGCCACACATCATATTCATCCCTGTGATCTCCCCTCCTCGTTGATTCCTCGCCGAAACCAAACAACCAATCCTCCAATCAGAATATGTTTACAGATTTCAAAAAATAATAATATGTTTAAAGATATTAGGGCATAGAATTAGAGAAAGATTATTAAGTTAGGCAACCCAAAACCTAAAAACCAAATAGAAAAATAAATTATAGAAATTTAGGGTAAACATGAGCTAAAGAATAAAGAGAAGACTCACCAGACGTGGATGCCTGGTCAGCGACGGCGTCACTGCTGCTCTGTTGGTTGCTCGCCTCAATCCGGACGCTCGCTGCCGCTGCTGCTGCTGCTGCTGCCGCCGCCGCCGCCGCCGCCGCCTGGTCGCTGCCAATCGAAGAAGAAGAAGAAGAAGACGGCGAATTGAAGAAAACGATTCGGTAAAGATATTTATTGACAGCGAGCGAAGGACCGAAATAGGTTACCAACGTTACGAGTGTGTATGAACTTATAAATTATAAAGTAGCCCTTTGTTTTTCTTAATTATGAAAATGTCTGCTCTATTTAATATATTTTCACAAAATACTAAAATAGAAAAGTTTTACCATTGGAAACCCCTAATTTTGGTACCAAAACCTATAAATATAGGTAGAGATGGCAATGGGTATGGCATGGATTGGGACCTCTTGCCCCACACCTACCTCTATTTTAGTCGTTTGCCTCATTCACCCCTAACCCAACTCTTATAAACTCTCTTACACCCTATCAAAACCTTCAAATGTAACCCCTACACCCGACTCTACCAAGATTAGTTTCTATTAAGAAGATATAGTACATAATATTCTATTACATAATCTTTCTATCCTAGGATGCATCAAAGTCTGCCACTTTATCATTTCTTACTTTATTCATCTTCTTCTCAAAATGAATTGATAGTCTTTCTACATTCAGGACAGATGGCAAATGTAATACAAGCTAACTGTAACCTATTTCAAGACAAGTTAATTTGAGAAAGGCAAAGATTTAGGAGCAAGTCTATAGGTCAAGACTAGCATTCGCTCAACTAATGGCCAGCTTCACACTTTTGAGAGAAATAAACAATTTCATAGCTCATTTATAACCCTTCTCTTGCTCGGGTGATAGAAGCACACTCCGGATAGCCACAATCATAAATTTATTAATAATATTGAAACTATAAAATAATAATTATAAACTCATACATTGTATATATTATATGTATTCAAAAATATATATATATATATATATTATTCAAAAATATATATATATATATATTATACACATATTACATATATATATATATATATATATAATTATTATTTATTTATCAGGTAGAATTTGGACAAAAAATACTCTCCCTCGCCCTCAATCCGAACGCAATCAGGTTGTTGAAAAGTTTATCCAAATCTGACCTTACGCTATTCAATCACTCCCGAACCTATACCATCCGAGTCGAGGTATTTTGTTATCCCTAAGTATGGATATATGGTAAATGCTGATCAGTGCTTCTGTGATGCTTGTTAATATTAAGAATATGAGAAAAGGCATATTACAAAATTGTAAAAAAATTATAAATTTTTTATAATTCAAAAAAGTGTATTAAATTTAGTAATAAATGTTTGAAAACTGATCAATTTTTTATCATTTTATTGTGCCCTAGGACACTAGCTAACATGACACTAGGTATATTTGTTAAACACGAGAAATAATAGTTATTGTATGGTAATAAAATATTGATTATGTAAATAGTAAAACTAAAACCATGGGACCTATTAAATAATCTAATGAATGTGAGTAATGAAATTTTAAATATTTGCAGAAATTGTGGGTGTTCACGAAATTGACCCATCTAACAAAACTGACTAACCCGACTCAATCTACCAACTTTTAAGCTGTTTCAATAGTTTGAGTAGACAGTGTAAACGTAAATTTTCTAAATTCATCTATGTTTGGACAATTGCGGAATGAGAGACCACGAAACCCAACCCAATCTGCCAATCCTCCTTAAGAAAATAATTAGCGCATTTGGTTTCAATTTTTTGGAAATTGCGTTTTTTTTCGTGTTTTTTTTTTTATAATTTAGTGAATATTTTAAAAAATTTAAGCAAATTTTTACTTTTTTAGATGCACATTACTTAGATGTATCTAAAAAGTAAAATATTTGTAAAAAAATATTTTTTAAAACCAATAAATACACAAGAATACAAAAAATGTACTAAATTCTCGTATTTTAAAAATATTTGTAGTATTTAGGAATTTTCTAAAGATTTTATTCACAAGTATTATACTTTTAAGTGTATTTATGTTAGGTGTATCTAAAAATTTTAAAGATTGCTTAAAATATTAAAAAATTTCAATAAAAACAAGAAATAATGAAAGAAAAATTAAATTTTCTAAAAAGTGAATCATGAAAATCCAGACCAAACAAGTTGTTGTTGTTTTTTGGAACGCTTTGTGTTCTAAAAAAATGATATTTTATTTACTAATAATATTAGCTATCTATGAAATATGGAAATTTGACATTTATTTTAATTGTAGAAAATGAGTAATAAAATTTTTGGACTCAAATTAGGCAAAAAATATTAAAAAATCACTCTAAATATTTATAAAAAAAATGCAAAACATTAAAGATCTAAACTGCTAAAGCACCGTTTGGGAAGAAGTTGGTTGGGCTTTTTTGGCTATTTTAGCCACAAAAAACAAAATAGGCTATTTTAGCCATAACAAACAAAACATCACATCTAACCCATAATCATTACACTCTTCTCTCACAAAAAAAGTCAAAAAAGTCAAAAAGCCAAAAAGTCCTTCCCAAACCAAACTTTTTAGCCCAAGCTAAAAAAGTCAAAAAAGCTAAAAAGCCAAAAAGCCAACCCACTTCCCAAACGGAGGCTAAATCGATTTGCATCCACCCGTCAAATCACATGGTTCGCTCAATCTGCATCTATTAATTTAGCAAATGGATATAGATTGATTTGTTTTAATTTGTCTAAGTTCAAATGAATAATGTATAGGAGGCCACTCGACTGAACTCGATCAACAAACACCCTTAGCAGAAATCATAATATTATAATTACTTTGTATAGAACGTAATCTTTTAACGTAATATACATTTAGCTCATTTAAAAGCTACAAAGAATTAACTACTATTTATCGTCAACAATAATGTTTCTCTTATCTTCCTAACAACGCCCATTTGTTCTCACTATGTTGCCTCTTCTTCTCTCTTCAGCTTTCTTGTGAAAAAATAAAAATAAAAAATTTGAATGAAATTTTGCATATATTCATTGAATCACACATCATTATTATTATTATTTTTTTTTTGAGGGGGAGAGGGGGTTATAACTCCAAATATATACACACCACTTCCAACGTACCTTGCTGATGTGCCCAAAAAACTTTTGCTTGATACCGCCATGAATAAGTTCATCAAAACTAAACTGTTCAAGAAGGTTCCTAAGATGTTCATCAGATCAATACGTCAATGTTTATTTTCTTTTTAGCTTCTTCAATGGTTCTACCTCAAGTTCAATGTCAACCTCCATCGTCATTGTCGTCGTATAAATACGTTGGTAATTTTAATGTTCTAGGTGAAGAGATCTTTACCCGTCAGGTGTGATTTAAATAGCAAATAAATTTTAAAGGACTTGGGGAATGATTAATAATTCACCCACACCATTTGTTCTATCTAAATGCACACAATCAAGTCTTTGACCGGTAAGAGACTCTAAAATGGGTGTTTTTTACTGGTCATAAACTCAATTATATGTATTCATACGGAATAAATTGTATGTATGTAGCAGTACTATTGAATAATTATGTTTATATATGATTTTAAATAATCAGGTTATTTGAATTTTCACCTAAATTCAAGTTTTGTTTTGCAAAGAGATAAAATGAAGAAAGTAAAGAGAAAAAGAGTTATAGAAAGAGAGAGAATGTTGATGGGTTTTAATGTGTGAGAGAGAGAATAAAAAATGCCTTAAATCTCTGTTAGATATGATGTAGTAAACCGAAATCGATTGAACCAACCATATTAGGTATATTTTTAATAAGAATCAATATACGCAATTTTTTAATTTTAAGTTTGATATCAATTCAAGCACATTGTGCACAAAATTAAACCGAAATCGACCGTTTTACTTTATTTCTATAAGAAAATCATGTTGATCGGATATTGATAGTTACTTGAACAGATCAGTTTTTTATTTTTTAAAAATAAATTATTGACATAAATGTGATATGATTAAGTGACCATTGATATCCGATCAACGTGATTTTGAATGAAGTACTCGATGAGCCTTACAGATTAAATGGTTTGGATCATCGATGTGGGTTCCGTAGTGGGTTTACGAAGGCCCAATAGGATGCCCTAGTTGGGAAACCCAACTAGAGACAATCTGCTCCCTTTATTTAAGCCTTGTTTGCCATACATTACTTTAGCACATCTTTTTCTTTTCTTTTTTTTTGTCATGTCACTTCTTTACCACATTGTACATTTTTTAGTTAAAAGTTAAAAAAATATACAACTTAGGCCTCGTTTGGGAACAGGCTAATTTAGTAACTATAAATGTGATATGATTAAGTGACCATTGATATCCGATCAACGTGATTTTGAATGAAGTACTCGATGAGCCTTACAGATTAAATGGTTTGGATCATCGATGTGGGTTCCGTAGTGGGTTTACGAAGGCCCAATAGGATGCTCTAGTTGGGAAACCCAACTAGAGACAAGCTGCTCCCTTTATTTAAGCCTTGTTTGCCATACACTACTTTAGCACATCTTTTTCTATTTTTTTTTTTGTCATGTCACTTCTTTACCACATTGTACATTTTTTAGTTAAAAGTTCAAAAAATATACAACTTATTTATCGTATCAAACAACCTTTTACTATAGTAGTGACTGTGATGATAATAACAAAATGATGGTAGCATTTATGACGACATGACAATGGTAATTCATGTGGTGTTAGTTTTAGTTATGGTTGTGATGGTAATGATTTTATAATAGTGTTACGTTTAGATTTTTTTTTTTATAAATTCATGTCTTGTTTGGCAACTCTTTATTTTACTGTAAAAGTAAAAAACTCATTAAAAAAAATAAAAAGTCAACAAATACCAAAAGTCAAAATTCCATTACATTTACTATATTTTATTTTGTGAAAAACCAAATGTCATCTCATATTTAACCCAAAAAAAAAATTCATTTAAAAAAATATATTTCCAAACGAAACTTCAATCAAAATTAAATAAGTTTAATATCACTTATCTAAATCAAGATCTAAACAATTAAGATATATAAATTGGATGAGTAATGCGTGATATATAAACAAAAATGTATATATGATATGTAAATTATGT